GCACTTTGTCCTGTTTCTGATTTACTTCCATCTGCCAATTCTACAGAAATAGATGGAACTTGTTTTGTGGCAATATTATTTCGTTTTACAAAATCTTCATTAATAAAATTTTTAGATGCACCACTATCAACTAAAATCCATGCTGTACAACCATTAATTTGTCCTTGGAATCGAAGTAAACGTTCACGATCCTCTTCCATACGAGTTAATTCTAAACTATTATTATTAGCAATTTGTTGCTCTTGCTGTTGTTCAATATTAGTAAGTCTTTGTTTGGGTTTATTACGACAAGTTCTTGCATAATGGCCAGGTTGTCCACATTTAAAACAACTTCCTTTCAAAGGTTTGTGATTATTATTACTATTACTATTGTAGTTACTTGAAGATGAGGTTCCTGCATAATCTAATTCCATGGGTACATATCGGTTGTTGTCATTATTGTTATTATTATAATTGTTGCTATTGCTATTGTTGTAATGGGTATAATTATTATTTCTTTGATTACGTCTCGAATGGGAGGATTTTGTAGATTGATTGTTGTTTGAAAAAGGTCTTCCATTTCCAAACATTGCAGTATCATATTGGATGGCTCGTGCTGTAGCTTTTTCTAAGGTATCTGGGGCTTGGTATGCTACTTCCATTCTTGTTGACGGCTTCAATCCATCTATGTAGTAAGTCACTTGATCTAATTCTCCCATGCCCTCAATCTGTCCAACTAAATTTTGAAATTGCGATGTGTATTCTTGTACAGTGCTGGTTTGTCGAAGTCTTTTAAGTTGTTGTCGGAGGTATTGTTGATAATTGGGTGGTTGGAAAGCAGTTCTTACAGCGGCTGCAAAAGTTGTCCAGGTGGCGTATGGTGGTGTATTATTATTTCCTACTACTTTGTTTAAATACCAGTGCAAAGCTGCATCTTTGAATCCAGTGGTTGCGTAAGTTACTTGAGTGGCTTCATTCGTGATTCCTTGAGTACTTAAAACATTTTGTACTTGTAACAACCATGCAACCACATTCTCTTTCGATTCTCCTTTAAAGGGAGGAATTTGCACAGAAATTTTAGGAGGAGCAGTTCCTGCATTTTGTGGTTGTTGTTGTTGTCCTAATGATTGCGTCAATTGTTGTTGGGACTGTATCAATTGTGCTATAGCATTTACTAAAGTATTGACGTCTCCCATTTTGTGTACTTAAAAAAAAAATTGCTAAGGTGTATGTGTAAGTGTGTGTGTAAAAAAAAAAATATCAGTATATGTGTATGTGTGTGAATATAAACGTCCGCTGCTACCAAGTTGTAAATGTTCAATGTTTAAAAGCGAAATAAGTAATTTAATTATTGTAAAATTACAAAGTTATCTTTTATTCACTTAAATTCATGTCCTTTTTATAAGAATACATAAGATTGATAATATAAATAATAATATAAATAAAATACAAACTAATATAAATAATAATATAAACATAATATAAATAATAATATAAATAAAATATAAACTTAATAAACTTATCAATCTATCTGGATGATTATTGGACATAGGTATAAATAGTAATAAGATAAATAGTGTAATTAAAACAACGCGAATAATAAATGTTACAAATAAAATTAATGATGTGTCACGTTATTAAATTGAATGTTACACATCCACGAAAGTAATTATATCGCGTTAAATTGTTACAATTGCTCTATCATTTCTTGAAGTCCTTGAAGTACTTCTTGAAGTACTTCTTGAACTTCTAATATTAATATCATTTTTTTCATCCAAACCAGAATTAATTAAATCCCAAGCCAAGTTTATTCTAAAATCTTTGTGATCCAAATCTCCATTGCAATTTTTCTGAATTAAGTAAACAATTAACAATTACAGTATCTAGTAACCAAAAGAACATCAGTATCCAAGTTCTCCTGGCTGTCAATTGAGTAGCATAATAACCACATAATTGATCAGCTATGTCTACACCACCCATATGAGCATTGTAATCATCTATTACTTTTGGAATTGGGAGAGATTTTTTAACTGCATTTCCAAATACTTGTCTGACTTTTGCTGCATTTGTACTTGTGATCCTTGGACAACGACGTATTTTTTCTACTCTATTTTCTGCACCAGTAATTTCATGGATTGTAGTCAACATTGTTACTGGGCCATTGTCCATCCACAAAATTGATAATACATCATCCACAACAACTCCACTAAGTGTGTCCCAATCTAATTTTTTATCAGTCTTCAGAACATTTGGAAATTTGGAAGAATTTTTACGTACAGTACCACATGCACCAATTTTTTTTTCATGTAAATAATTAAATAAATTTATGCTACTAAAATAGTTGTCCATATAAATGTTAAAAGATTTACCAATTGGCAATTCTTTTAATAAATGATAAACTTCACATCCTGTTAGACTCACTCCTGGTATATTTTGAAATAAATGAATTCTTTTTAATTCTTGATGTGAACATAAAATTATATGTATACCCTGCATCACACAAAGCAAATACTTTATATCCTTCAGGAGTAGGTTTATTTTTCATTCTAATAGTATGAGGACTTCTACCAGAAAATCTAATAATCATTCATCAACTGATAAATTTGAGGAAGGAAGGTAATATTTCATGCAACTATTTAAAATAGATGATGCAAGTGGTTCGATTTTGTGATACCATGGAGTATTTTCTTGAATGTTTTCAGTTGGATCTGAGACATGAAAATATCTTTTAATTTGCTCGAATTTGATTAAAGACATGTGTTCAGTAATTTTATGTTGTGGATATTTATCAGAAGTTTTCCAATAATCTCTCATTGATGGTAATTTAAAAATTCCTGAATATATTACTATTCCCAATCAAATTTTAAAATCACTTAATTCAAGAGCATCCCATCGTCTTCCAGCTCCAGCACCTTTTTCATCAGCATAAATATTTGTATTGTATACAATAATATCTAGAATATCAACAGTAAAGAATAAACTAAACAATGAATAAGGCATAATATCAATTCAACAGGAGAGACCATTCTGGGAACACAAAAATTAACAGGAGGGAACACAAAATTTTAACCCATGCTATTTGTTGATTGACCAATTAAAATCGC